TTCTCTCCTTACTGATAGAGGAAGTTCAGCATTGCTTGGAGGAAGAAATACAATTAAATCCTTGTGCTAGTTCCCATTATGCATAAGATACATTCATTTTGGTGCAGATTACTTGCTGAACTTCCATTGATGCTATGAGGAGGAAAAGGAATTTCATGTGTTTTTTACACCAGTACCACAGTGTAGCTACAGAGTGAATAAAAATACTAATGCAAATGGCAAATACCCTATTAGAGCCCACTGATATGCTATTAAGGCCTGGGGCCATTTTTTCTTTAGATGAAATCTTAACAGGTCTCATTAAGTAATACTAGTGATGTCATACATTTATAGCACCTTTAATTTCAAAGTGCTTTACAAACTGCATCAGGAATCTCTTCATTCACCACCTAAAATAGTCACTTTAGGGAGCATAGCAGGTTGACTCTTTAAATCGTTCCTCGTGGAAATAGTCCCGTTGAAGTCAGTAATATTACTTATATGAATGAGGACTGAGTAAAGATTTATTGCATGTAGTCCGCACAGCACAGGAAGTGCAGGATAATACTCCATTCAACTGAAATTATGAGGGGAATGATACCTAAGCAGAATACCTACCCAAATTAAAATCTGTGCAAGATGTCAGGATTAGTACCTGATCTCTTGCTAAGAGCCATGGAACTGTCATTACCACAAGGGGACATGATTTCCTTTTTTACATCTTACCCTTAAAAGGCAGTACCTCCATCAGAGCATAGCCTACTTGGATGACAGCCTGGTGCATTAGTATCTCAACTCATGCATGTTGATTCAGTGCTGTCATTTCCTGCACTACATTGAGTTTTCTGTTGGAGACACTTGGCTGAGAACTGCCCGGGTCTGACCCTCTACAGCTAGAAAAACCTCGTGAGTTCTGTGGCATCACTGACCAGACAAGATCAGCAGTTGTACCCAAAAAGTATTCCATTCCTGGGGACTGTGTGTCTTCGACTAGCTCCTTATTTTATGCAGACATTAATTCTTAACTAGTTTAATGGCCAACTTAGCTTTGTAGACATTTTGTTTAACTGTAGGAGTAGATTTCACCTGTCCTCCCACAGTATTGACCAGGAACTAAGGCTTGGCGGTTATCTATCAGTGGAAGGGCATTGGCCAAAGACTGAAAATATTTGAGGAGGAGAGATTCAAAGGGAAGAAATCTATTCTCTGTCTCCACCATCCAAAAAGAAGCTGTAGAGAGATCCAAAAGAAAGAAAAGAGGAAGACAGGAGAGAGAAAGCAGACCTACATCTACACTCTGTAAAGATTCAATTGCATAAATTATTCTTCATTGCCAACTCCTAAAAGCACTGTTGCCATGTTGCATTATGCCTGACTCATTCCGCTCCAGAGGTAGCTGCACTTAAATGGTGGATGATACAATTAGTGCAGACATTGGGGCAAATTCTGAACTGACCTGCATCTAGTGTGGCCCCAGGAAACAGGGATCACAGGACGAGGAGTAAATCAGAAAAGAATGGACCCCACAGCCTGTGGAGCACCTTGCTGTAAAAGCTGCTACATAAACATGGACGTTACTCTTAGTGCTTGGCTCAGTGCACAACCTTTAGTGGCACAATTTGGAGTGGGGAGAAGAGATGTCTCAATGTGTCAGATCTCTGCAAGCTTGATCAAAAGCCTCATTGCAAGAAGCAGGCCTGTTTTCTTATTGTCTCAGACCCTTACTTAGAAAACTGGGTGAAGGGACGTGCCTGTGGCTGGAATGTCCATTGTTCCCATTTTCATCACTGGTGCAATGGGCTTTCAGTCAAGGAAAATTACAGTATTAAGTAGAGTTGTTGACTCGAGTCCCACAACTTGAACTCGAGTCCGACTTAAGTCGCCCAGGTGACTCGACTTGAGACTCGACTCGGGTTCATTGTTTGTGACTTGAGACTTGACTTGAGACTTGCTAATTTTGTTAAATCAACTTGGTGAAAAAATGGTCCGAAAATGCCGATATTGATGGCTTGTACAAAAGTAACTTGACATTTTTTAAATTAAGACTTGAGACTCGACTTGGGACTTGACTCAAAAGTGACTTTAGGGACTCAACTTGAACTGTAGTGACTTGAGACTCGACTTGGACTTGACAATGACGACTTGAAGACAACACTGGTATTAAGAAACACTTAGGGTACGTCTAGACTACAGGGTTTTGTCGACAGAAGTTTTGTCGACAGTATCTGTCGACAAAACTTCTGTCGACAAAGAGCGTCTAGACACATTCCGTTCTGTTGACAAAGCAAGCTACTTTGTCGACAAAACCCTGTAGTCTAGACACAACCCTATATGCAATAATACCTTCTGTAGACAGAACTCTGTCGACAGAAGGTGTTATGCCTCGTAAAATGAGGTTTTCCAGCGTCGACGTTATGTCGACAGAACTCAGCAGTAGTGTTGACAAAACTCTGTAGTCTAGACACACCCTTAGTGCTATCACAGCGAGGCCAAAATGGGGAATGGACATTGAGATTAGGGCTCGCCATTTAGATCTCCTGCAGTGAGGGAAGAGTTAGGATTTTGGAGTAAGTCTTTGGGCCAGATTCTAATACCCATAACTCATAGTCTGTAGCCCCACTGAAATCAAGCCAACAGGGTGGAACGCAGAATCCCCACCCTGCAAATCTTCTAGTCTGTTCCCAACCTGTCACATGGTGTTTGGGTACTGACTGAGATCACAGACAGAGGTTGCTAAATAATAGCCTTCATTGCCATTGCTGGACTGTTCCCATCACTCAAAAACCTTCAAAATTAGTCAGGGGTCGGTGTATGGGGCGGCGTGGGGGAGGAGGAATTATTGAAAAACTATAGATATCATATATGATTGCTAGCAAACAAAGAAGCTTCTGACTTCCTCTGCTGTGCAAATGCTGAGACAGTTTTTTTTATTTTCCCTGTGCCTTCAAATCTGGTGATTAATATTACAATTATTTCCCACCAATGACAGTAGTGTATTATGAGTGAGCCTCATGTCAAAATAAATTGAGAGGTTATTTTCAGGTCATAGGCCTCTTCCCTTTCTATATAAATATCTTTTCACAGGGTGGAACTATTTGCAAAGCTGAGACGTTTCCAATGTTTGGGGTTTAAGGGCATGGACAGAGACAGATCAATTACAAGCACACAGAGGATTTACAAAATGGGTTCTCAGCCTGGATATCGTGGCTACCCCTAATGTGCCCTTCCAGTATTGCTAGATGGGAAGGGGATCCAAGGTAAGTAAGGAACTGGTTGAGAGCCACAATTTAAAACATAGCAGGGTGCAGGAGTGGGGTAATCCAACATAACCCTATGAAGTGTGAAGTTCCTAAAAGTAAGATTTCATGGAAAGGAGATGCATCTAATCTACTTTTAGCTTTAGTATGTTTCTGCTTCTTCCAGTGACCAGGGCTGTAAGGTAGAGATCATAGACTTGACCCTCCATGGGGCAGGGTATTGCATGTATCAGTGCAAGGTGAAATTTGATGAGCAGCAGGAACTTAATCCTATATTAATGAGATGTGCAGTTGCCAAGTTACTCCCATCTAGTAGCAGGAAGGTCAGGAAAGTAACATGTAGCTAAATCCCTCTTGCATGCCGAGGGCTGCATTTGAGTCCAGACATGCCTGTTCTTTTCACACACCCTACTGTTATTCTCTATGCACAAACTTATGAGTATGGGAGAGGGTCCATATAAAGCTTGAGACTCACTCCTGTGTAGAGTAGAGGATAATTCATAAGTTTCCACATGCACTTCCAGCTGTGCCTTCCACAGTAACTTGCAGAAACTAGGCGTACAAATTGAGCCACCTTTCTACCAAAGTGGTTTTAAGCCCCAAAATGGAGGGCTTTGGGGCAAAATTGGAACATTTTAAAAAAGCTTCAACTTTTGGCAAAAAGACATTGTTTTGATAAAGCTAAAATGTCCCGTTTCAACATTTTCAGAACTGAATGTTTCAATTTTTTGTTTCAAAATGACATTGAGGCAATTTGAATATAAAGTTGAAATTGGAGCAAACTGTTTCCATTTTATCAAAATGAAACAGTTCAGTTGACCCAAAATTATTTTAATTCTTTTTGTGGGAAACTTTCTTTGTTCTGTTGTGGAACAGAAAATGTTTTTAAATTACAGAAATTTCCCACAAAATGGAAAACCTGGTTCCTTGATAACTAATTAAAAGGAAGGCCTAAATATGTGACTGAAGCAGAATTCAGTCCTTTGAAAGGGTCCATCTTGAGTCAGGAAATCTTAAATAATATGCTGAAATACTGAACTTTTCCCTTTTGTACTTATATGGCCTCATAAAGTGGACCCTTCAAGGTGCCCCCTGGTGGCCACTGGGCAGCCATGAACACAGTCATTCACCTCAGTTTCCTTTCATGGATCCCCAAACAAACTCCACATTGGGTTGTTTTTTTCTGTCCCATCACAGCAACCCTGCTTGTGGGAATGATATAGTAACTTAAAGGTCATAACTAAACACAAGATTTCCCTTCAGCACAGCCCAAACTCCCCTGGTACAGTCCGGGTTCCTTAGAAAGCTTCTGCCAGCCTATCCTAGCTGGAGCCAGTTTCTGGGTCTTCACAGCAAGAACCTCACTAGTTTCACTACAGCCTCCTGAGCTTCCCCCTCACAGCAGCCACTTCCTGTTCTTTATAGGAAATAGCCTGATTCCCCTCAGGCGGGGTGCATTCCCCTCAAGCCACCGTGTTACAGATCCTCAGTGTCAGTGCTTGGACCTTGCAGTCTTGAAAGTATTTATCCTCCCAGTGTTCCTGTGAGGTGGCTGTTATCTCTTTTCAGAAAAAGGAGAGACTTGGTCACTTGCCCTGGTCACATAAGGAGTCTGTGGCAATGAAAGGAACCTGAACCTTAGCCTAGTGCCCTAACCACTGTGCAATGCTTCCTTTCAATCCCAAGGCTTCCCAGATGTCTGGGAGAGTCCTTCTCCTCTGTTTATCAGCTCAGTCTGTTTGCATTAATTCCTCTTGATGTCTATTCACGGAGACCTTTGAAGGAGCAAGACTTTAAAGTGGGCTGACGGGACGGCCAGGTCGTAGGAAGAGGTTGATCACTACACAGGCAGAATGCCTGTCAGTAGAAGACACCAAGCCAGGATGGGGGAGAGCTGCTACACTAGACTTGGCCACAAGGTGGTGCAACCAGTTGAGTCAACCCCTTCACACCTTCCCACATGCTTCAAGAATGATTGTAAACAATTCACACTCCTTCCTGTGGATCGAGTTCAGGGGACTGCTAAATAAAATGAAACTCATCAAGTGCTAGTCTGTGGCAAACCTTAATTATCTCATGTAGTTTAGGGCCTGATCCAGCTTCTCTTTGAATTCTCACTGATGTTATTGAGAGATGGTCGGGTCACTAGTTACTGCCTTTAGAGAGAAATGCTTGATTTGTTTTTTCCATAGCTTCTGGGCTACAGGATGCTTACGCTGGAAGCCTGGAGTTCAAAATCGTAATAGAGATGGGAAAGACCTATCGATCTTTGAGCGTTTTCCCCACACCCTGCCTCCTTGGCTAGTCTTATTCAGTATGTTTCCTGGCACTTTGTCTAGCATCATTTTAAACAGCTAAGTGATGGGATATGCATGACTTCCCTTGGAAGAATATTCCACTATCTAATAGAGCAGGCTCGGACATTTCCCCTCCATATTCAGCCTAAATTTTACTCTGGTTATTCTCATCTGAGTTTTCCCTGTTATGCCCCTGAGCTTGAGATGGGAGAAGTCAGGATCCAGAATCTAAACTATGGCTCATAAGTGTTCTCTTATGGAAAAAGCCTATAAAATGCAATGGGAGAAACCAACCCACTCATAGAGAAAGGTACTAGGGTTCTACAGAATGACTCTTTTAGGATCCATGCTCTGTTAAAGAAATTCTTTCTGTTGTGTATTTTTTATAACTATCTTTTGGAATTCTACTACTGGAATATAATTCTATAGGATGGTCCAAAAACTTGTAGAAAAGTCATCATGCTCCATGGAATTCTATAGGGCTTTTCCCCAGAGGTGGCTGCAACATGTACATCAGCATATGGAATTGCGGAACAAGCATGCTTGGGCAAAAGAGAAGAGAGGTCTGTAACTTGTTCACTTTGTCTTAATTTAAGAGGCAAGCTGCAAAACCTCATCCAAACGTGAATCAGAGTAGGATAGTACCAGAGGTGGCTAGATAGGGAAGTGCACTAGTGATGTAGTCTAAACACCAGATTTCTGGTGCCTCCGGGCAATTTTAGAATGGCATCAGGAACCTCTGGATGAATATTCTTCACAGCTTGAGGCATCAGCTTTCAGCTAAAGCAGAGGTTTGAGAACAGCCATCTGTGGAGGTGGCATCCGATTGCTATTTGCTTCTTTAATTGCTAAGAGCTCAGTTGCACCATTTTAGGCACAGCCTTGAGTAGGTAACAGCAGCTGGGTCAAAATATTTAACCTCCTTGCCTTGGTTTCCTCCTCCATCAGATGGAGGCAACAGTACCTCCCAGGGCCCTTGTGAGTACTAACTCAGTAGGGGAGCTCTCCTTTGCTCCCATTGAATCCAGTGATGGATCTCTCCTTGATACCAGTGGTGTTCAGAGAGAGCCCAGTGCTTAATGCTCTGGAGTGCGAAGGTGTCACATATTGGGGGTTCAGTTCAGGCTAGTAAGGGGTTGTCACTATCTGCCTTGTAAACCTGGGAGCTTTAAATGCTCTGCTGCTTTGTGTCACGACTCTGACACCAGCAGACAAGCATGCAATTCCCTGAGTGTCCAGGTGTTGTATTCTGCCCACAGCAGCCTGCCTACAACACAACAGTCCCATTGTGGCCTCCACTGGCCTTGGTTACTACCCCACGTGCACCCTCAGTCCCAAATGTCCTGAACACCATCTGCCCTGTAACATCCATCCCGCTGCTGGAACATTCAGGGGAATAATAAGGTCTGTTGCTCCTTTTAAAGAGATAAGAGTGCAGCAGCTGGTTACTTTAACTGGAGTTAACAATCTCTTCCATTCCAAACCAGTGCAGGGTTAGTTCAGATTAAAAGTAAAACAAATGTATTAACAAAGAGGTTAATACAATACACTTTCTAATGGCTACGACTTTGCTCAATAAGATACAGCCTTGGTTCAAGAGAAATTTCTTACCAAACACTTTTTTCCAACCATGGCTGAATTTCTCTCAGCCAGGACCTTCCGCAGAAGTACAAGATTCTAGTTTTCCTTGTCTTCCTTTGGGAAAAGATTTTTCCTAATCAGATTTCTCACCTATATGCAGTTCCAGAGAATTCAACCTCCTTGGTTGAAGGATCTCTTTTTTTGAGCTTGCAAGAGCTCTGTATCTCTCCAGTGATGGAGGCCAAGGTAGCTTCTTCTCTCTTCCCTTGCAGCTTCCCCATCTCACTGTTTTCCCCCCCTCCCCAAACTCAGAGTGGCCTCATGCTGCTCTTCACATCTGGTGGTTGTACTTCCCAGCTCCTTGCTGATGTCTAAGTAAATAAGGCCTCCATTGTTTTTGGTCACACTTTAGTTTAATTTCATTGGCAACAGATAGGTAGCTGCTCTCCCTCCTGTCTAGGTGAGTACTTGTTTCTCCCTTCATTTGGTCACAGACTTTAAACCATAATAGCAGTGAGTTTTCATAACTCCTGATGTAGAGCTAATACTTACATTCACAATGATATTTATTACCCAAGTATCATTAGCTTTCATAACAGACGCTCTTTGGTGCTCTGTTATAATGCAGCAATATTGTACAGTCAGTTGATTAAATTATGTATCATTTGAGATTCAGACTCCCTGTCTTTATAGCCCAGTAAGCCATTGAAATCTCTTCTCAGATGAAGATGCTTTTCTCCTGGGAAGAGATGTCATGTGTTCTGGTGAAGATTCATGCTGGGTTCCTCCCCTACTGATGATGATTGAGTCATTACCTCCTCCCCTTGTTAGCTGGATGGCTTTGTTTTACCTTTTATGTAAATGAACCTTCATTGTCTCAATGTGATGACCAGGTTGGTCAGGCATGCAAACACATTCCCTTGTGTAGGGGCAGATTGGCTTTATGCATTGCTTGCCAACACATAATTCTATCATATACACAACTCCTTGTCTGAACCTTGTGCATATATCACACAAGAATATTCGTGATCAATGACATATATTACAGGGTGTGTATATATAATGACAACAGTGTGTTAGTATAGTAAGTATGTCAGGCCTGACAAGAGTTGCTGACACAGACTAGTAAACCACAAATGGGCTTCTGTGTTGAGAAAGTGTGATTTATTTCCCCATTCCCAAGAGTTCTTCATGTTGTGCTACCTCTGCTTCCACTCAGCTGAATGAGAGTTTTGTCAGTGACTTCAGTGGGAGCAGAGCTAGCCCAATGTTGGGGGCCTTTGAAAATTCTGCCTGGTAAATGTTAATGGAATGCTAGCTTACTGCGAGTGAGAATACTGAAAGCAGGTGCCAAGAAGATATTGAGCCAGGTCTGCTCAAATGACGTCAGTCTCACATGGGCTTTATAAAAAAAAAGGTCTACGTTCAAATAAATAAGGCAAAACTGAAACAAAGGCCAAGGATACGTGAGTTGGGCGTTTCTCTTCACCTCGCATTTTTGGCTGACTTGCTTTTATTTTTCCAGCCGACTCCTGAGCATTTATGCACTCTCCAACTAGATTTAACAAGCACGAAATCAGGACTTTTAAAAACCTGGTTGCTTATCACACGTATCTGCTTCTAAAGAGGCTTTCATGACTAGAAGTTATGCAAAAGTGTGGCTGCTTTTCAAAGAAGACTTAAGGCTAAGTTCTTTCACTTTCCCACTTCACTCAATAAGGCCTTAATTCTGCACGCTCTTAAGCATGTGCTTAACTTGCTCATCATGTAAATATTCACATTGACTTCTCGTTTGCTTAAGGTTAAGTACATGCCAAAGAGTTTGGGGGAATCTGGATCTAACTTTCCAAACTTCTGATTTAGCAAGGCACTTAAGCATGTGCTTAACTTTTTAAGTGGAAGAATACACCACTGATGTCAGCGAAGCAACTCGTGCTTAAATTTAAGCACGTGCTTAGCTGTATTTAAAGGCTAACTGTGGAGGACAGAATTTTCTATATAAAATGCCTGTATAATTGTGACCTTTTGAGCATTCTCCTAATTTATACTTTCCAGATATAGTAATACAGTATTTGTCCTGAATGAGTGCTAGCTTGTTTAGCTGAAAAAAATCACTTGTGTCTATTTTGAGTGCTTGTGATTCTTTTTTTCTTTATACAGTGCAGATGGTGTGTGCCATTTAACAGTACGACTCAGGAAAGTGCCACCAAACATTTGCTTGGTTATTCCTACATGTTGGCACAGCAGAACTTTCAGAAGCTTGCCCGTATGTGGGGAAACAAGCTTTCTGTTTCTCGTCCGCAGGGACTGTACACTGTAAACAGTCTCACTTTTTTTTTTTTTAAGTGACTTGCCTTTCTGGGCTGCTGGATGTATCCAGGACTTGATCCAAAGCTCGTTCATGTCAGTGGTGAAACTCCCAACCTGTGCCTACACAAACCTATGGATCAAGCCTCTTAACACAGGTGGAGAGATCTGCACTAGAAAAATAGCTTCTGAAGCTTAGGGAAGGGGGTGGGTTTCAGAGCCTGAACACCCGGATGAGCTGCATGTTCAAAGGGCCATCTCTCTGCACAGCGATTTTTGGCATGCTAGCCTGAGCCCCACTAGCTTGAATCTGACCTGAACTTGAAGGTCTGCTTCCCTCCCTACAAAGTGCTGTGTAGATAAAACTGACTTTAGTGGGCTTTGGATCAGATCCATATTTAATGAAATGCTCTGTAATCCTTGGGGATAAATTGTACTATGTAGGATACTTACAAATAACTAATATTTGTAACTAATATTAATATTCTGTTAATGCAGAATAGTATTTAGCCCATAATAAATCATATCTTGTATTCCTAAAGCGCCATTTATCCTGACATGTCCCAAAGCACTTCATAAATTGCATCCATGCAAATCACCCTTTCAATTTCCAGCTGTTGAGCTTAGTCCTATAATAGTATTTTCGTTGGGTGTCTTTTTGTAGCTCCTAAGAGCCCTAGTTTGGAGTAGGAGAGCTTGCACTCTAAGTACAATTGCTGGGGCCAATACATACGTAACCCAGTGGT